CGGAGATTCGCAGGAAAAAAAAAACAGAAAAAAATATGCAAACGGGTAAAAATCGAAATATATCACATTGAGTCGGAGATCGTAAACTGAAGAAAATCATGTATCGCCGCGATATTCGTGCAGATCAATAATCATTCGCGCGTTGTAAGCAATAAATTGCCAACTTAATTTAACGTGAGTTCGGTCTCGCCTGCGTCGGCTCGAATTAAATTGTTTGATAAATCCAGTCGTTTGGCATGTTGATATTACTATGTATGGCCTGTTCGGGCGTGCCAAGCGCGAATTAAAGACGCGATTAACAAATTACAAAAGATATAACTTACGAGTGAGTGAGAAAACATTTCATTGTCGGTTTTCGTTTTCACTAAACGATTATGTGGTTGCGAGCTTGGAAAACGGGGCTACGTAAATGTGTGTGTTAATAATTTAAACAGCAATTTATGTCTTCTCGGTGTAGTGCGCGGCAAGTTTATCTTTGGAGTTTATTAATAGTGATCACTTCTCTTTCATAAAAAAAAAAAAAAAATATACTACTAGTTCTTAAAAGTGAGGCTGCACTTAAAGCGAAATATATACACTTTGGTATTGACTTTTATAAAGTGACTCACCGCAACAACTTTACACACGTTGAATCTAAATCAAAATTAATGCAATTAAATTTCCGACCCTTCTTTTTTCAGACCCAATTAGATTCTAAGAGTTGGAGTCGATTCACTTCAATACTAGTCGCGCTCAAATCGAGACGCTTGTCATCGACTCGTCAACGTCATTCTCAGGGCCACGTGGGTTACGTTCGTCGTCGATAAGCGACCTATTTTGAATCGCTCTGTATGACAACGTGCTACACGCTGGCATTGAGGTGTAGTCTAAGCAGAATAGGTTAACTAACCAACTAACCACGAGACCACGTCAGTAGGACAGTGAAAGGCGACCTAGACCAAGTCTCTTTCCAGCCCCGCGCTGTGTGCGGCACGACGCTTGGAGCTTGATAGAAAGAGAAAGAGAGAAAGAAAGAGACGCAGGGGAGAGAAAGGGAGTGACAAAGAGAGATAAAGAGAGAGAGAGAGAGACAGAGAGAGAAAGAGAGAACAAGAGTGACAAGAGAACGAGAGAGACGCACGTGTCCAGCGCGTGTGTGTTTACCAACACGCGCGGCCACGTGCAGCGCGTGTGCGGCGCGTGTCGGTGTGCATACGCATACTGGCCGATGCACTTCGTGCAGTGCACACTGCAGTGAAGCAAACGAAAAAAAAAAAAGAAAAAAAAAGAGTTGCAGCAGCAACAGCACGCGGGAGTTGCGCTCGCACGCTCGTTCGGCCCGCTCGTGCGGATATTTCAATGCTGAGCTGGACGCTGTCGGAAGTGTAGTTAAAACGTCGTTAACCGTTGGCGTAAATTATTTTCGCGGATCTTCGGCGCGAAGATCTTGTTTCTAACGTACACCTATATAACTTAGAAGTTCAGCTCGCCCTTGACTCGCTTTCGCGATCTAATCGGATGTTCGCCGATTTAATTCTCGACCCGGATATCCCCGGCGCTCGTTCTCGTCTTGAATCTTTCGAGATTCAATCGCGAGAACAGAGTCGGGGTCCTCGGGCGCGGATGACTCTATCCTCAGTGTCCGCGCGCGTACATACGTAGTACATACGTACGTGGGCTTTCTCTGGGAACGGTTACGAGAGATATTCGAGTCTCCATTGAAACCTACAGGCGACATACCGGGAACAATTTATTACCGGAAATTTCTTCTCCGTCATTGCGTCATCGCATCTGGTTCCATACTGGGTTGAAGGCATCGTAAAGAAGTCATACGTTTTCACTTAAAGGCCGCACTTTCGTTCTTACGTTTGAATGACTGATGTCGATAAGCGCGCAGTTCTTTAAAAGTATCAAGGATACTGGGTTGCTGAGGTGTTCTACGACAATGCGCATTTTGTTCAAGTGGATAAAATATATTTTGATTCGTAGAATATGTGTGTATTTTAAGTCTATATTTAGAATAGAGAACTACAATACTATTTCTCAAAATCGTTGTTAATGTTTTTCGAACATTTTTAATTCATCGCGTCCCCAAAGTTGCTAATCTGCGTGCCTGTTCTCTCTACAACTGATTCACTCGTGAGTTATTTTGTGGGGATCGGAGCTAGTTTCTGCGGAAGATTTTCACTCTGAATGCGGACAACGGAGGTGGCGAGACTTGTCCGAAAAGGATTTACGATCGGCAAAAACGCGCTCTCTCAGAATTTCGCCATCGCGGCCAACCAGTCGTACGAAGCGACGAGAGAGTCGACGTGCCTCAAGTCCTTTCGATTTCGTTCTCGTTGCGAGATTGTGGCTTCGATATCCGACTTTTGCTGCGAGGAAAGTCAGCGTGAAGATAAAAAAAAAAAAACCAATTTTTGATCTCTTTGATTTGCCAAAAAAAATGTTAGGTTTGAAAAACGCATCGAGAAGGACATAAATAATTGCAATCAAAATATGTGCAATGATTAAATAATTGCGTTAAAAAATTTTTAATATTTGAGATATTACAATTAGCAATTTAAAACAAAACACACTTATCCGTTCTAACAATCTTGCGAAAATATTGAAGTTAGATTTGAAGCGAGAGAATATGAAAGACGGTATAATTGAATACAAGATTGTTTATATAAAAAAAAGAGCAAATCGTTAGATTTCACAAAACTAAAATAAGATGCAAATAACGTGAATGTGTTGATTAGATCAAAGATCCGCAACTGTGTTTTCAAGAGAGTCGCGGACTTTCATCCTAATTTTCCAAGCTCGCGCGGTGCAGTGAATGGCGAATGTTATAGGGTCAATGGCGCGTAGAAACGGGCACTGTGGCACCGTAAACAGATCCGTATTCTTAGACAGTATTTTAGGGGTCAGCCACCATACGTCGTAAAGCCATTAACGATGATATAAAATCCGCTCTCTAACGCACGTGACGATGTTCCGCAATTTCTGCGCTGTTTACTTAACGTTGCTGGTTCATACAACGGATGTCTGTTCCATCTAACTACGCAATTTCCGTTGTTCTTCTGTTATTCGTAATAAGATTGAAAATAAAAAAGTGACACATTCTTCGGTGTGGCGTTAGATATAAGCAAAAAGAGTTACTTTTAACATTTGAAAGAGTCATTGTAAACTGTAAGATATCAGCTATGCGGCGGCGCCACATACCGGGTGGCCGTGATCGACGACTGGCGCGCATGTTGCTGCGCTGACATGTAATTGCCGAAATCACGTGAAAAATGTGATAAAAAGGGCTTGAGAGAATCGTCGAGCGAGAGGTGTGTGCCGGCGAAGGATCGAGAGACTCAAGTTAAACCCGGCGAACTGTACAGTCGAAAAAGTAAGTCGTTGCGTCGAAGTCGAAATAGTCGAGTCGTGATAATCTTAGCCGAATCGTCGTTACACGTTGCCGTTGTCGTATTGTATTAAATTATTCTATTCTATTCTATTTAATAAATTATATTAAACCTGTAAAGGAAATAAGCGTGTGAGTTGGATTGATTTATTCAGTTGATTGTCATTTGAAACATATATTGTCGTTGTCGTGCCGTGAGCCCTGTTGCCCTTAGTTGGTGTCGTGAAAACACAGGTGACTTTGAGACAGTGTGTGAGTTTGTCGGTCGTGTCGTGTTGACGAGTTTATTGTGTCGAACTCAAATTATAAACCGTCGTGTCGAACATTTCGAATAATCAAGAATTTACGAAGACGAATTTTAATTCTAATCTTTCAAAACTTTTAACTATTCGAATTTTTTTACTTTTGAACCACAATATGCGATTTGCCAGATGACTTTCTTCGAAATCTTTGCAGCGCACAATTACCATCGTATTAATCACTTGTCATTAATTCGAATTTCAAGCGAATTTGCGCCCACGTGTGGGCAAATATCCATACACGTGTACGCATTCGTCATTTTCGAGTGCGCGATGATGACGCGTAACTGCGAAGAAATCTCGTAGCGAAAGTGAGAGAACGCGCGCGCGTCTTCATCGTCACATATCGCCAGCTGTAATATACACGGGTGTTCTCTACTAGTGCACAAACTTCTCTATCTCGCGAGCGCTGTCAGTGAAAACCGCACCGGTGCGATAGCCCGGTGTGGAATGGAACGCAAGGGAAATGAGGAAAGTCGGGCATCGATGAAAGTGAGAGGACGCCGGCTACAGGGTGTCTCAGACGGCTCATTCTACGGCCGGCCGCGGGAGAAAGGGTTTCGGCTTCTGACGTATCAGTCTGGCTGAGTCTAGCTCGATCGGCGAAAAACGCGAAAGCCAAAACACATTGGACTGTTAATGAAATTATCGAGAAAATTTCTGTTTTTAATTATTAAAAAAAAAAAATACATTTATAAGAATATTACATACATTCGATATACTTGTCCGAAGAGAAAGGCGCTCGTGTTTGAAAAACACACAAAGCGACGCAATAATGTAATTTATTTTGCAGTGAAATATAAATTTTCTTGTGTCGTGCTAAAATTAGCACTCTTTCGACTCTAGTATTTTCTAAGGCTAAACATAATCTAGAATCTCTGTATACTTCCGGACTCTCGGAGTTAAATCACGAATCGAGGATCTGATAAACAGATCGAATCAGATAGCTTCGCTCTAGCACGCGCTTCTTCCTTTTTGCAATTAATGTACGTGTGTGCTACGTTCCGGGCGCGTTTGATTTCGCAACGCGATTGTTCGAACGTATTACGTCAACGTTGAACTAATTACATATAATACAATCCGGCTAGTCACGGCGCGGCCTAAGATGTCGTAAAATCTCACGTTTTATATGCCATAACTGTCACCGCGTTTCGAGTGACGTTACTCGTATTACGCACGAGCGCGATACTTTCAGGACCCCGCCTGCTTTCTTTCTTATTTTAGCGATTTCAGGTTTTTGTTTTTTTTGTTTTTGTTTTTTTTTCACATTTGCATGCTTTGTCACCCGCAAAGTTCACATACGAGCTAAATTTGTTGTAATGACGCAGGAAGAGCCGAGAAAGCGACCAGCGCATCGTGGACACGGAGAAGCGAGCGGGAATAATGGCGGGTGAGAACATGCAGATCCTGTCGAACGGCAATGTGGAGGTGCTTGCGATCATTCCTCCGAATATGGCGAACGGAAACGGTCTGACCTGCCAGCAGCAGCACAACAACAACGGCTTGATACCGAACGGAAAGCTGCACACCGGAATCGGCGGCACGGAGAACGGCAAACTGATTGTGCCGGATGAGAGGTCGAACAGCATCCACACGGAGTTCGACGACGCGGACGTGTCCTGCGGATGGGGCCCGTGCAGACCGCTCTGGTTACAATACTTCGCTACGAAGCAAGCCTTTCTGGTGACCTTCTGCCTTACCTGGGTCAGTGTGTCGAATAATCAATTTATAATAATTTTTTTTATAAGGAAAGTAAACAAGTTCCGTAATTTTTATAAAAACATTATCATATCGCACCAGATAAACCAGAGAAATGAAGAAAAATATTAATATAAGGGTTTTCTTCATAAAAAAATTTATATCCTTTAAACTTTCCCGATAAAAAAACTTAAAAACTTAAATTGCACATTTAACAGCCACGATTTAACGACCAAATAAACGATGTGAAATCATGCTTGGTTTTTTTTTGTTTTACTTTGTGACTTGCAGGTGCTACAGGGTATGTACTACACGTATTTCGTCTCCGTCATCACGACAATAGAGAAGCTCTTCCAAATCCAATCGAAGACGACGGGTATCATTATGTCGGCCACGGAGATCGGCCAGATCGGATCCTCGTTATTATTGACGTACTACGGCGGCCAAGGCCACCGGCCCAAGTGGATAGCCTGGGGCATGATCCTCTTTGCTGTGAGCTCGTTCACCTGCTCGATACCCCACTTCATCTTCGGTGATCAGCTGATCGTTCAGAACGAGATGTTGTTTAGCGGCATCGAGCCCGGCAGTGGACCCAACAATACAGACCCGATACCGGCAAATCTCTGCAGATTCCAAGAAAGGAACAGCACGCTGGACGGGTAAGTGTGTCGTCCACTTTCTTCTATTCCAAAATTCTTAATGAGTGAACACCCTCCAAGGACCAATTCATCATAATGAAGAAGATGTCTTCATTAGTTCTCTACTTTTTACGAATCATAGCGATTCTTGTTCGTGATGAGCCTTGGTCAATTCCTAATCAAAGAAACGCAACAACACAGTTCGTCATATATGTAAAGAAAATTAAAAACGTAACTAAAGTCACGTGACAGGAAAGTGTAGAAAAACAACACGTGAAAATAACGTGACTGTAATTTATATTATATATAATTTAATTATATAATATATTATATATAATTTATATTAAATAATACATATTATACAAATAATTTATTATATATTTATAATATTATACTTTATATTGTATTATATGTATTATATACAGTAATGTCACTGACCTCCGCCGCGCGGCCATGGCGGAGTCATTGACCTCGGCCGCGCGGCCTTGGCGGGGTCATTGACCTCGACCGCGCGGCCTTGGCGGGGTCACTGACCTCGGCCGCGCGACCGCGGCGGGNGGGGTCATTGACCTCGGCCGCGCGGCCTTGGTGGGGGGGGTCACTGACCCGGGCGCGCGGCCTTGGTGGGGGAGGGTCACTGACCCGGGCGCGCGACCGCGCGGCCTTGGCGGGGTCACTGACCTCGGCCGCGCGACCGCGGCGGGGTCAATGACCTCGGTCACGCGACTGCGGTAGAGTCACTGACCTCGGCCGCGCGACCGCGGCGGTGTTACTGACTTCGATCACGTGATTACGGTATATATATATATACACATATATGCGTATGTGTGAGTATTATATATAGATATAGAATATTACATATAATATATATAATATTCTCTTTTTTACCGTTTTCCTTGTCACGTGTTGTTTTTCCACTTCTCTCTTTCACTATTTTTTGAGTTTGATTTTCATGCGTTATTTCTGACATTTCTCATATGTGTATTATATGGTTTATAAGACATATATACTATCTGTCATTGCGGTGACAGGTTGTGTTCATTGACAACACGTTAAATAAAAATAACAATAGCGCACGCCTGTGTTGTGCTAGTATTTAAAAAAGTGCGAAAAGAGAATATAATTTACAACATAATTAACAATTATGCAATAACAAACTACATACCGAAAACTTTAGTTAATTTAGTGTCGAATTATCAACCTGATTAATTACTTGAACAATTAATTCTTCCGTATTATGAATTTATTCGCTTAATAAATTATGTTTACAATAATTTGCTCATTTGTGCGAAACAAACGAAGAAGCTCTTGCGGAAAAATTTACGATCGTCTCGTTTTATTATTACAACGTCTCGCGAAAAAAATACAAACGGCCAGGTGTGTTATCGTTTCGGGCGGAGATAATCGTTCGCCGTAAATACACAATATGAGACGGACTATGTCGAAGTAATGAGTGCTCAGTTTTGCCTTAAAACCGTATTTGCAAAAACCGGTTTTTTTACGTATTTCTGTGCAGTAAGATGCACCGACGGCGGTTTTATAATCCGCAGACAATTAACCCTTTAAAGTACATAAAATCCACCTCACAACTTTCGCAGTTTCTGAGTTCCGAGCTTAAAAACTGATTTTTCTTTTCTCATTGTGCGATCGATACAAAACGAAGTTTGGGCAAACTGCGCTAGAATATATCCCAAATGAGTTAAATCGAAAACATAAACGACAATCAATTAATTAAGATTTTTTCAGTATTTTTTTCAGAATTTTTTTCAGTATTTTACAGAGATGTAGATTATAGAAATAATTATCTAAATCTGAGAATAAAAGTAGATAATATGTATGTAAACAAAGTAAATTAAAAAATCTTTAATTAATTAACCAGTGATTGTAAAACTTTCACCCGCAAATTAGCGCTAATAACAATTAGTTTTGAGACTCGCCAACGAAAGGATATGGAAGTTACGTGCACGTTATCTTTACGCAACTTAGTATGTTGCATTGACAACATCTGCAAAGAAATTAATTTTGTGAGAAAAGCTGTGTTCGGCTAACAAGCGAGAAAGTTCGGTCGATATAGCATAACTCTTACATCAGTAATAATTACGTCAAGAGGTTCCATCTTTCAAGAAGGGAGGAAGGGGAGTCAGAAACATATTATGCCTGTACGTGTGGTAATTCCACTAATTGCTGTTACATAATGGAAGCGTCCATCGTGCCGAGAACAACGAAATTCCACGGCGCGCGGAATGCTCGAAACAGATCCGCGCAATTTAACGCGGTAATAAAATGGAGCAATGTCGATTACGTTTTTCTTGGTATTGCTGGCTCGTTACGCGCAGCTGCACTTATCGCTATACGAGGAAAAAAAAATACTTAGGACATCCCACGTAGGCGTTGGTTTCCTGATACAATTCCGGAAGTAGTTGATTAAATTTGAACAAGAAGTAGGATATACTGTTAGTTAGTCAGATCTATGAGTAGCAAGATAATTTCAAAATAGCAAACAAATCCTTAATTACTGTATAAACTAATTAGTACAATTTATCATTGACGATGCAAAATATTTACGAGAAAGAATGAATGACTTGTATTGAAATGCGCAATACAGGCTGCGCGTTATTGCGCGTGACACGTACTCATTTAAAATTTTTAATTACCGCACGAAATAACAAAACATAGCCACAACACAAGATAACGCGCTCGGCGACAATCAGCTTTTATTACATGTCGTTTGTCATTCTCATAGCTGGAACGTGTCGACAAGCGCGCCGCAGACCGATTCGGCGGAGTACTGCGAGGGTGATTTTCTTACGGAGCAAAGAATACAGAGCAAAATAACCACGGTGGTGCTTGCGATATTTTTCGTATCGTTGCTCGGCGTAGGAATGGGCCAAACGGCGGTGTACACGCTAGGCATACCGTACATCGACGACAACGTGGCCAGCAGAGAGAGTCCTTTGTACTTTGGTGAGTTTCTTTTTTTTTTTCTTTTGTCGAAAACCATACGTTCTGATACAACGCGAGTTACAGTTAGATCTCAGACTTGAGACATCATTTATTTTTTGTGTGCGACAGCGATCACCATTGGGGTGCGAATTCTTGGTCCGGCATTAGGTTTCATTCTGGGTTCTTTGTGCACGATGGTTTATGCGGATTTGTCGAGGAATCCGCAGATCACGCCGACGGACCCCCGGTGGGTTGGTGCATGGTGGCTAGGTAAGTTCGAATAAAATCGCTCACTGAGACCTACTGAGATCGAAAAAATGGCGGTTCTCAAAAAACTACTACTTGCGACTCTTCAGAGGAAATGATTTTATTCGCACCGGAAAGAGACAAGTCGTTACAAATTTTCACGCGTTGTTCTTCAGGATTAGTGCTGATCTCGGCGATGCTAATGCTGGTCAGTATTGGGATGTTCGCGTTTCCGACGCGATTGCCGAAGAGCAGAACTCCCCCTCGACGAGCCGACGCGAAGAAGCCTAGTCTCCGAGGTAAGTCCTGATTTATCTTTATTCGGACGTTCCGATTGCTCACACTCAGACCTAGGTCGCCGTTTTGGCCGCGCCGTATCGGATCTCCACGTCGGCTTAATCTGTTTTTATGACTCGTCGTGTGTAAGCTGCTTTGTGGCACAGTCTTGTGGCGCAGACTCGTCTCTCTTTCTTCCGATTCCGCTCTCGCGATTTCCCGTGCGATTTCTCTGGAAGAGAATCGCCGAGAGTGGAAAGGATAATAGAGAATGTGTGCGCGGCTGATGATGTCTCTGTCTCTCGATCTATTCTTGCTGTCTAAATTTAACGTACTGTCGTATTCACGGTCGCATGCCTTTCTGCAATTGAATATTTGCAATATGCGCAATTACGATAATTCGTTGATGATAAAAAGTTTCTCACGCTCGCAGAAAAATTTATTCTGCTTGTAAGAATGTGTGTGTTACATCCCGCGGCGGAGGAATGAGCATCGCTTTTGCTGCGCGCTGAAAAGTTCGCGCCGAAAGGCGAAATTTTGCGTGCCCACCACTCGCCTTAGTGTGCCGCGGATCGAAGGCTAACGAGAATGCAAATAGAAGTCGGAGACAATGTGCTCGTCGTAAGTTAATCGGGAGCTCGCGACAAGCGATTTCGCCTACAGTTCGAATAATGCGTTTTCTTTACGCTCATAAATTTATGACGCGTCGTTAAATTTTTTTTATTATTTTAATTGCATTGATTGACCGACGAACACTTCGCGTTCATATTGCTCTGGTCAGAGAAAAAAAAAATTAAAATATGTTATAATGTTACGAAGATTTTTTGATATTTCGCGCGAGAGCTGTGTCGAGATTTTGGTTGGTCCCGCTCGTTGTCGTGTGTAATGCCTTTGGTATGCTCTATTGGTATGAGCATAAAAGGAGAAATAAACTGATCACAGATGATCTCTCAAGCGTGAACTTCTACGGTTCAAGGTCAATGGCAAATTTGGTGGCGAGCAGAGAATCGGTGTCGTCTTTCTCTCTTTCTTTCTCTCTCTCTTTTTTTCTGCCTACATAATACGGTGCGCGCTCAATCGGAGAAGTTACAGCTCGCGCGACGAGATTTACAGGCTTCGGCACGTCTGTGAAAAAAATTAGACGCTCGGTTTAGCTCGCAACGGAGAATCACCTCCGCGAACTTACTACTCGCAGGCGACCGTGAATAATCACCCTGATTAAAAGTTTTGCGCGGTTTTATCGATTTTGTTTTTCTTTTTGATGTTGTTGTTTCCAGCTGAACTTGCACTGCCAAAAGTGGCTTCTTTTGAAGACGGCGAATTTCACGCTCAGCGATTCGCACAATTCACCTTGACCTATTTATCCTTTGATCTCTCCTCAAGTCGCTCAAGGTGGATTAATGAGACAATTTATAACGCTACGTTGATTATATACATATATATTGCGTATTTGTTGAAAAATAATAGAGATTTTTAAATATAATATTGGTTGTGAGACGATGTATGTAGACGACGAAGCGCTTCATCGGAGTCGCGTGAGTCACTCTGTACCTCGGCAACAACGTGTAGCTTGTTCCGATGCCGAAAGCCCTGAAATCGGATGTTCCCTTAACGGACCCTCGCACGAAGATGGTCCGTTCACGCGTGTGCATGCGTGCATGCACAAACACACACACACACACACACACACGATAGCGCGCACGCCGCCGCTCGCTTTGCATGTGAGCGTTAATAATAATGACTGACCGACTCGTGCACGAGGTGGGGCAAGTTCACGGTCACGCGTTGTGCATAGAGGCAATGGTGGACACGCACGCGCGTATGTTTTGCGCGTGAACATGGACTATGTGCGTGTGTTATCTCTTTCTCTTTCTTTTTCTCTCTCTCTCTCTCTCTCTCTCTCTCTTTCACATATACACACAGATTCTTTTTAGCTGCAGCTCTTTTTTTTCTTTCTTTTCTCTCTCTCTCTCTCTTTCTTCTCTGTCTTTCATACCTCTCTCAATCGCTCTGTATATACATGTGTTCGCTTCCAGCTGTATTACCAACACCGTCGCGCTTAATTCGGCGGATCGCCTACGTGAGAGCCGTTTTAATGTCTAACTTTTTAACTCGTATCTAATGTTTTATTTATTATCAGCGCGCTATTATTATTTAGTTGAAAGCGAGTTCCCGCTAGCTATTGCATATTTATAACGAATATTTGAATATTGCTTTTTTCAAGGACAGTTTATTGCCAAATCGTTGTGATGTGTGTTCGGCGCGGCTGTGCTTCTCGAAGAGAAAACGCAGATTAAATCGCGGCGCGTTCGCATTGTTGTGCGTTAACGTTGAAAAATCCTAAAAAAATTATATTTGTCAAAACAAAAGAAGAATCGAAATGAGGAACAAATATATTTCTAAATATGTAATATACACGCGACGCTGATTGCGCATACGCAGTATCACACGTTCGTACCTTTTAAAGGGTTCTGTGCGTGCACGATAATACTTAGAACGCGATGTTAGTCACGTTTAGTCTACTCATGGTTCGCCATGTACCTATGCGAGGTTGCCACGATTCCTATCTGGCCTCTCTCAGGTGCCTAGAAGACTTCTAGGCAGTCCTAGGCATGTAACTACGTTTATACACGCAGAAGGTTACGCATGTACTGTATAACTTGCTATAGTATCGTGCGGTGGAAACACACTCGATCCCGTCTGAGTACATAAACTAGCATAAACTTCAGCGGAAGAAAATCGAACGCATCCACTTAATTTTTTTTTTTCTTATCGAGAGTTTTAGATTAATCAAAAGGACACTTGAAAACCTCACTTAAAAAAAAAAAAAAAAAACAAGAAAACGAATTATTCACCGTTATTTCCATTTGAAAGAGAAACTAGTATTTCTATTTTTAGATTCTCCTTGAAGTAGGAAGTTTCGAGAGAGAAAAAAAAAGAGAAAAAGACAGAAGTGTAAAAAACTAATTCTTACTTTTTCGATTTGGAGAAATTTGATTGTCAAATACATATCTTACATAAATTTGAATAAAATGAAAAATTTCTCGCGAATCGTCGATTTATTAAGTGTTAATTCAGTTAAAACTAGAGACTTTGTCATTTGTATAAGATATTGAGGAGTGTCCTCGGGATTTTGTCGTTTTGCTTTACCGCGACTTATACGAGGAAGAATAGTCGCGAACGCATTGGTTTCGCAGAAAAGAGAGAGTTCGAATTGACGCCAGAAATTGATCATAAATTGAAGCGAGAGATTCTCAAACGTGTTTGCCGAGTCTCGATAAATAAATTTTAGCTGCTCGATTGCGATAAGGGTCGTCTCCTTAATTGTCCGTACGAGGATCGCTGGCGAACTGTGGACAAGCTTCCGAGAGCAGATATGTACATATATATATATATATTTCAAATGGGTCAATACGTTCGCGATAAGTCGAGCGGTGGTATACCTTCGTCTCGCAGGAGTGTACGTATAAAAGTCTACGGGACGCATCGATCTCCGCCGATACGCAACATTCGTGCCGGCGAAACTGCCAATAAACGTCGCCATCGTCTGTGATATTGAAATCGCTCTCGTTGCTGAAACTGGTATAAGCAAACGCCCGTTTCGCACAGACGCGGAATCGCGCGGAACGAAAATTCTTCCTCGACGCGAATTTATTCCCGCAGTCGCACTCCGATCCTCGTGGAAGCAAACGAAAAGGATCGACCAAGTTACTCGATAATTCGAGTATTTTTCGCAATCGAACTCGTATGAAATTTACACACGGCGAATATACGGTAGGTGGATGCGTCTAAATACTATCAAATTTATTCGGAAAATGAGTGAAACACACCCGATGAAACGAATGTGCGTGCACATGTTGTGCGTTGCAGAGAGATCGAGCGATAAACCGGAACCAATATAAAGAGATAAGCGGGCGCGCGCATATGTTGTGTGGCGCAATGTATTCGCGTAGAGCCGGATCGCGACTAGGATATCGCTAAGCCCTGCGTAACCTTCGCTCATGAGACATGTAACACCTCGAGTCGATGACCTGTACACCCGTCTTACATAGATTAATATTGTGGCCTTGGGTTCTCATCTGGGTTCTGACTCTAACGAAGTAACCGTAAAATCAGTAAAATCAGATAAAGGCACATCATTATTGTCCGATATATTTTATTATGTCAAAAAACAGAAATTGCGAAAAATAAAAAAAATATTTGTTAAAATTCCACGCAACGAAAGTTGTTAATTAAAATATATAATATGCGTATAATATATACACTCACTTGTCAATTTAAATTTACACGGTCTCGCGTGTACGCGCACGTCAGACACGCATGTTACACCTGCACCGCGTTGGTAATATCTCTCCGATCGCTGTTACAGATTTTCCGAACGCAGTGAAGAGACTTCTGAAAAACGATATATTGATGTTCAGAACGGCAAGTAGCGTGCTGCACATCCTGCCGATCGCCGGCCTTTACACCTTTCTGCCAAAGTACCTCGAAAGCCAATTTCGCCTGCCTGCTCATCATGCGAACATGATCTCAGGTAATTATCGCGCATGAACATGCGAGTGTGTCAGGAAAAGGAGAAGGAGGAACCATCAGAGAACACATCTTCAATTATTACTAATGACATGCGCCGTGAAAGAGATGAATCGTGTTCGAAATAACAGTGACGACGACGACACTTCGCGAAAGATCGAGCCGCCGGGCGACGTCGCGCAAGATTTCGCCGCCGGATGTCCGTCGCGATTACGACGCAAAGTGGATAATTTGGCGTAAACGACGGAACCGGCCGGTATATTTCGTGTTATTTTGCTCGTGAAAAAAAAAAAGAAAAAAAAGAATTATTCTCTTATTTCGTTGCGCAGGAAGTCGTGAACAAAATCTATTCGATCAGTTAAAAACTGGAAACACCGAGTTATATCGCTATCAACATCGTATTTCAAGTAAACTTCAAACACACAAATAGCAGTGACATTATTTTTTCACATTTGTAACTCCACGTTCGATTTTTGCTTAAAATCTCTTATTTCAATATTATTCTGTATATCGATACACCGTGTACATCTATAGATAATTGCGAAAATTAGATTTGTAATTAATATAACCAATTAATTACTAAATAATTGAAACTCTCTTACGGCATACATAATGCGAAAGATGTCGTAATTCGATGCGTGCAACGATAATGCAAAGCGAATTATTCGACATGATATACAATTATTCGGCTTCGACAGAGAGGATTTACGTGCGCGTGTACTTCGATATTATTATAATTGTTACACAGAGTGCTTCTCAATACTCACACACGTTCTACCACGCGCGTGTGTGCACGCGCTAATTTATGATGATTGTTCGGCGAGCGCAAGTAGCAAGACTGACGATAGAACTGTGAGGCTGCGCTCCGTTTCTATTCTACTCTCTCTCTCTCTCTATCTCTCTCTCCCCCCGTCATTCTACGCCCTTTCGTGTATTAATCTATCACGACTGTGTTATTCAGCGAATAATTTGGCATGCAACTAACACCGTTATTGCGCGCGATTTCGCATCATTAAACAAAACGTGAACACGGAAGTTTATTAATCGCGTCTCAATGAAAGTACACACATGGAATTACGATGCGGTATCGAGTATTACGACATAAATAAATAGCACCGCATCGCGATTCGTTTGTACTTATTTTGCAATTATTTGCAAAAAAGAGATGTTTCATTTTCTATTTCGTGTTTTTTTATACGGGATAAAATTCAATATATATCTCGCGATTATATTTTATATTTTTGTACGTGTAGAAATGTATAGAAATGTATTTTAGATACCACTCGATTACGTAGAAAATAGCAAGCAGAAGTTTTATTAATGATGTTTTGATGAAGTGTGGCCATCCTTGTGGATTCCCATGACTAAACCATGACGCAAGTCATGAGTCGTCAGGTGAATGGCTTTCGTTCGTATATAATGAGTGTAAATTTTTTTGTGCAGGTGTTGGCGGTATTCTAGTGATGGGATTGGGTATAATAATTAGCGGAGTATTTATCTTGAGGGCGAAGCCTAACGCCAGGTTCGTCGCAGCCTGGATCGCCTTTACCGCGGTCGTTTACGCTATCGGCATGGGTGTTCTGATGTTTATCGGCTGTCCGATGGATGATTTTACTGGACTCGTGTCGCATCCCGACGGGTAAGAAAGAGACTGCGTGTGTGTGTGTGTGTGTGTGTGTGTGTGTGCGTGCGAGTGTGTATTGTGTGCGATTGTATCTCAACAGAATTGAACAAACCACCGATAATTCGCTGTATAAAAGATTTGAGATAACATCGGTATATGAGAGAGACTCGTGCGCGTTTTGAATATATTCTTCCAATTAAGCAAATCTATTCTGCGGTCTCATACCCTCTCGTCGACGATGTTTTTCAAAAGTCTTTCAGAACTCACGCGCTGGCTAACGTTATCGCGATAAATTATCGTTTTTATTTTTGTATTCAAACGTGAGGCTGGTGTTTAAAGAAAGACAAACGTGTGTTCGAATGCGTGTCCTATTAGAATGCACATTGCAAATATATGTATCTGAAACACTTCGTTTTTTCTCTCCTCTCCTTCTCTTATTTACAAGTCTCAACGATATCTCTCGGCTCTCCTAGATACATACATTTCGAGCTCTCCTGATTCGATTCATTTATCTGACCGACATGAAAGACCGACATGGAGGAACCTCGATGCCAGTGATTTTGTTCAATTTAATTCGACTCCAATCTGCTATGCAGAGAATAAATCGGCACATTCAACAGATATCTAAAGATGAGCAAAAGCCTGAGAGAAAAATGCATGTTTTCCTCCTCAAGTTGGTAATTCGAGTTATTAATTCGCGAGAAACGAATTATTTTGCATAGACAAGACGTGTGTGTGAAGTTCAGCAGATCAAAGTTCTCTGATTCGTTTTATATAAAACTGATTGGCAAATAAAATAATATTTCCGCAGGCGTTCTAGCTTCGAGCCGATCTGCGAAGCTACCTGCGACTGCGATCGGAACAAATTCAGTCCAATCTGCGGCGCCGACGGCAGAACGTATTTCTCCGCGTGTCACGCGGGGTGCTCGAATTATACGGTTGCTGACGGCAAAGTAGCATCGGTAAGTGTTAAGTCTCGGTAAAATCAGACGCTCGCTCCCGCGGACGGAGAGTGTTCTGATGACACGTTCTGTTCGCGTAAGATTACACGGGATAGGATAGTAATTGAATCGGTCATCAGTTCGGAAACATCATAAAACCAGAGAAATTGAAATTGTTGCCAAGTAACTGCGGACGTGAATCTCAAAAGAATTATGTGTTGTTTTTGAACGAACGATATTTAAATCACGATATGTCAGATGTTATTTTTCGTATTGATTGAACTTTCCTAAAATTTTTAAACCGTACTTGAAGTTGTGATGAAACTTTAGCTTAGATGAAGTTTTAGCAATGTTGTTTTGTAGCGTTTTTGTGTTTTAGTAACGGATTTTAGAGAGTCAATAAATAGAGCACGATCAATTTTTCTAATTCTTTTTTATTCGCTTCTCTGACACAAAATTACATTTTTACACTTCGTAGTTTTACAACTGTCAGTGCATCGGACAGAACGTAACGATACCGGAAGCGACGAGCATGGCGACGATCGGTTACTGCGACCTGGAATGCAGTAACTTTTGGGTTTATATGATCCTGTTCTCGGTCTTCGTTTTTATCCACTCGACGAGCGAGGTGGGCTCCATGTTGCTCATCTTGCGATGCGTGGATCCCAGGGACAAGGCCATGGCGCTCGGCCTGATACAGTTCGCCATCGGCTTGTTTGGTAATTACTTGATGAGATACTGTTTTTTTTTTTTTTTTTTTTTTGCGCGCA